CTAATGTCCCAAGTTTTTCTACAAGATTCGGTGAATAAAACAAGATTCGGTGTATAAAGAAGAAAACCGGAGTTTATTCGTTCAACGTATAATAATTAGAAAATTATAGTACATCAATAAAAAAACAAACATGGTTTTTAACATACAATTCTATTTATTTCGAAAAAGATGGTTTAGTAATTTTAAAGCAAATCGGATTTTCTTCAGTTATACTGTTTTTTTTTCCTTCTAATTAGTGCACATTTAGCTGGACTACAGTGTGTATGAGTTAACGTGTGCACACTTATATGCATAAAAAAGGAAATTTTAACTTGCGTGACTAAATGCCATGCTTCACAGCTAAAAATCAAGATATATGTATTTTATATCAAAAATGTTTTAGAAATATCAAATGTGCCGATTTTAATTATGCAGTAACATGTTTTGACATGAAATAAATGATAATGTCCAATTACGCTCAAAACATTTAAAAAATATTACATCGGTATTTTTCCTTGCTTAGGATCAAGACTAAAATACTTTATCTGTTTAGCTTATGATTTTATCGTAATTTTCCGCATCCCGTTTGTGAACAAGCAAAACTGATTTTTAACATAGCGATAATTTTGCATTCTTGCTCTGTCTCTGTTTTGACAAATGATTTTTTTTTTACAAGACTTATATATAGATTTCAGTACATTCGTTGTCTTGGAGTTTCTACTGAAACAATTTTAAGACAATCTAAACTGTTCAACATCTTTTAATTTTATCTAAACATTGATACTCATATTTGCTTTTTATAAACCATGCGAATGGCTTGCATAAGAGCTCCTATATGTAAGGCTTAAACAAACTGATTCACGATGGATTCTACTTCAAATGACACATGATCCTATTATTGCAATGGCCAGTTTCACCTTTCCTTGTTTATAAATTTGCACTGTGCAAACTACGAAACTGTGGAGTGAAACCTGAAAGGTAAAATGAGCTCAAAATGCCAATTCTTATTTCAGTTTGCTAGAGAATAGACCAAGTGGTATTATTTATCTTGTCACCTGTAATCCTGTAAAGTTTGTTAAAACGTACAGTACCAATTATCAACGCGCACTGATTATCTTATACGCTACAAGAGAGATAACAAAGAAGTGGGAACAACCGCTAAGAGATAAATCAATATAGACCTTCTTTAATTCATAACTACAGCTAAACGTTAGGGGTAATATTCAGGGCATATGTCTAGTATTGTAACAAGTCATAAACCCTAACATCTTTACACGTCGTTTGGTCTTCAACGTAATTTGAAGCCTAGAGCCATATAATTAACTGAATTACAAAACTTTCCATAAAAAACTATTTATAATTGAAAAATCGACGAAACTTTAAATGAAGAGCACTGTGGGAATTGATTACTGTTATTTCGGGCATATTTGCAACAGATATTAGGAATTAATTATGATACTTGCCTGTTTGCGCCACGGACGTCCAATATTTTGTGGCCTTGAATAATTGTCATTCAAGTCCTGGAAAACCAAACAAATGAAAGAGTAAACCCAAATAAATTGAATTTCCCCATGTTTGCTTTTGTAAATGATTCCCAATACTACCACCCCATCCCCTGTTCGGCAGCAAATATGCTGAATAAATGTAACAATCTCTTACTGCTTTCAAAATAAGTTCTCTTGCGGTCTATGAAAGAGCAAACGAGGAATTTGTTTTAGTGAACAGGTTTATTGTTTTGGTTACTGCAAGAACCGATAAACAGAAATAGATTAATACCATTTAACAGCATGTAATAAACAATATTTGATCTACGTCACCCAACGACTGATGCAAAATGCAGTAACTTCATTAAACTCTGAAATATTCTCGCTGTTGAAAATAATTAAAAGTTTGCTGAAAATACAACTTAATAAACAAATGAAGCAAACAGAAGGAAAAATATTTTGGCAGCAGCTTTACTTCTTATGACACAAAGGTTCCTTCAATGAATAAAGAACATTTAGGATCAGAAGAAAAATAAAGGTGATTTAGGGGGTGGGGCAAATTTCTTTATCAAGCTGAAAAAAGTTTTGAAATTAAATATTTAAATGTATCAGTTGGAGAGAAATTATATTGCCACAACCGCAATGCCACTTTTATCTCTGCAGTAGCGTTATGAATTTTAAAAAAATACTTTCTTTTCCCATTTAGGAAATATATCTCAACTTTTGTATTTAAACATGTATTTCTATATTTATATGTATGTGACTATATCATCATCATCATCATCATCATCATCATCATCATCATCATCATCATCATCGTCGTCGTCGTCGTCATCATCATCATCATCATTATCATCATCATCATTATCATCATTATCATCATCTTCTTCTTCTTCTGCTCTCTCTCTCTCTCTCTCTCTCTCTCTCTCTCTCTCTCTCTCTCTCTCTCTCAGAACAGAAAAGAACAGATCTTAAAACGTATATTGTGGCGTAGCTAAGCTATTTTGGCCCCTATGAGGACCTCTAAGCAAAGTTTACCTAAAGGTCCCTGCATAATCAATGGAGTAAAAAATTAATTTATGGACCTCTATGTTTTGCCCACTCTTGATATATAGTATCTACGTCTCTGCGTGAATGGCCAGGCTACACGCCCTCCAGTATACATTGCCCACTCTTGCTATATAGCATCTACGTCTCTGCGTGTATGTCCAGGCGATATACCCTCCAGTATACATTGCCTACTCTTGCTATATAGCATCTACGTCTCTGCGTGTATGGCCAGGCTATATGCCCTCCAGTATACATTGCCCACTCTTGCTATATAGCATCTACGTCTCTGCGTGTATGGCCAGGCTATATGCCCTCCAGTATACATTGCCCACTCTTGCTATATAGCATCTACGTCTCTGCGTGTATGGCCAGGCTATATGCCCTCCAGTATACATTGCCCACTCTTGCTAGATAGCATCTACGTCTCTGCGTGTATGGCCAGGCTATATGCCCTCCAGTATACATTGCCCACTCTTGCTATATAGCATCTACGTCTCTGCGTGTATGGCTAGGCTATACGCCCTCCAGTATACATGTATTCATTATGTAATCAATGAGGATGCAGTTAAGATAAGCCTAAAAACAAACTCCAAACAACATAATGTATGCTTCACGCATTAATAAATTATTTTATAATTAATTTTCACCATTAATCACGCAGTGGATGAGCGAATGTGACCTGTTGCTATTCGATATTCTATGATACCCTTGTGGCATCTTATAGATGTTACGCTGTACGACAATTGGTACATATATTTAGGAAAACGTCTAGGACGAGCAGTTTCAGATCTCCTAAAGTTAATTAGAAAATAAAATCGACCCACCAAACAGACAAAATTTAGACACTACAACATGTAAACATTTCAAAGATGTCAATTGTACATGACTACAAATCTTTTCCAGGGCTGGACCGGGGAGTGTCTGTATTGAGTTTCGGGGCTCTCCCGGTTAAAAACCGCAAAACGTACACAACCAAATGTAAAGTGACTTGCCACTTGAATTTTAACGATAATTTTATTCTTGCACACGTTTATTGGGTATTGTGCACACTTTGAGTAACGAGACAGATTTAAAATTGGGGCCTTTGGAGGAAAATCAGGGACCATTTGAAATTTTGGAAACCCCCACCCCTACTTGACCTGCTTTCAAATTATTTATGTACGGTCTGCGACATACGTGTAACATTTGGAGAAATTCAGAAAGCTTCCAAACAAGCGAGCAAGAGAAACAGAGACAAAGAATATTGAAAAATAAGTCGTCCGCTTTAATAGATACGTACATTTAAACTACATAAAAGGGTTAGTTATTGGCGAGCATCTTGTGTTTATTTTTAATCAGTCCCTCCCGCTTTCACCTAAGATCGAATGCTTACTCAATGAATGCGTTTGATAGAGAATGTGTATTACTTGTAAAAGTCTTGTCAGATGCACGCTAATGACCGAGTGTAATTGGACAAAGCCCGATTCAGTCTAGAAGTTTATTTTTTTTTCTTTCTTGAGAATCCCCAATACAGCAAATGTCATGTAGAATAAATGCATTTAAATGGAACGAGGTTCCCAAATACACCAGTTCAAAGAACTGCTGACTATTTTATAATAGTTGTTGATACTTTTGACTAAAATTGTCGATCTCACGCTTTTATTTACTCAGCGTGACTTAAATAAATATAAAAGCTGAAAAACACACCAAGATGGCGCCTTTGAATACATTGTAATGGCCATAATTGTTTTCTTATTTTTCTTGATTTATCGATATAGGTGCATCATAAATCTTTTCATTTTCTTCCGAAACATTTTTTTAAAAATATTTTTTCTCCATAAACTATCGCAAATGCACTCAACAATAATCTCATGTTCTAATTATATGTCATTTCTGTATATCGGGACAGGTTAATAACAATTCCAAAGTTAGTTAATTTGTGTTCTTTAAATGCTGTTATTGTAAATGGTGTTGTAGAAATTTAGTAATAAGAGCGAATCATGGGAATTGTGGTGTGGAAGATTAAAAAATCAAGTTTAGACATAAATACCTATGCTTGACTTTTGAGATATAATAAATATTTTATATTTTGAATTTTAAATAAAATAGGACATACATAGAGGCGGCTGGGGAGAGGAGGGGAGCATATTTTCCAGCAAAGATACAAAAAATTGTCTTTATTCTTTAATCACAGCTCCATCACCATTCACTTAAGATTAAATGCATTCATAATAGTGAATAGTGTGTGTGTCTTTGTGTGTGTGTGTGTGTCTGTTTTTTGTGTGATTTGGATTTTTAACGTAACAATTTTTCTGTCATATCGCTACGACGTCTGCAGTGTGGCAGTTTATAGCGATGTCTAGCACTGGGGCATCATGCGTAGACATGTAGCATGATGTCCCATCCAGTCACATTATACTAACACCAGGCCGACCAGTCCTAACACTAATCTCTGAATGCCAAGCGCTTAGAGTCGCGGCTGTCAGTACCATTTTTATGTCTTTGGTACGACTCTGCTGGGGTTCGAACCCGCGACCTCCCACATTTGAGACGGACGCTCTAACCACTAGGCCACCGGAGCGGTCCAGTAATTAAGTAAATAAGTAAAGGCAGGAAGGAAGCGTACGTACGTAAGATGGCACATACGTACGTAAGAAGTGAGTGGGGGCACACTTACTACTTACATACGTATGTGTATGTCTGTCTGTATGCATGTATGTAGGTATGTTTGTATGTATGTATGTATGTATGTTTGTATGTATGTATGTATGTATGTATGTATGTATGTATGTATGTATGTATGTATGTATGTATGTATGTATGTATGTATGTATGTATGTATGTATGTATGTATGTATGTATGTATGTATGTATGTATGTATGTATGTATGTATGTATGTATGCATGTACGTATATACTCAAGTATGTATATAGAAAACTAGGCAGTATGCATTCATTTTTTAATTCCATAAATTTAAACTTGATAAGATTCATAATCTTTTCCTGCTTTAAATTATTTCATCACAAAAATATACTGACAACATAAACGATAAAAAAACGACATATAGAGACAACGGCTTTCAGCGAATACAACATATTTCACTCTTTCTCTTGAAAGTAGGATGAAAAGATTTATCAATAGAGTGCAGGAGGTCTTGATGGTATACAATTTGTAGGTACCTGTATTTTCTTCACGTGTAGCATGGCCTCTATTGCATCAATACATTTGAAGCTGAATATTTCAAGTCAATAGTAAACATCACGATGTAATGACTAGTCAATGGTAAACATCACCATATAATAGCTAGTCAACATGAAGAATCACGATTGAATGGCTAGTCAATAGTAAACATCACGATGTAATGATTAATCAATAGTAAACATCACAATTTAATGGCTAGTCAATAGTAAACATCACAATGTAATGATTAGTCTGCATGAAGAATCACGATTTAATGGCTAGTCAATAGTAAACATCACGATTTAATGGCTAGTCAATAGTAAACATCACGATGTAATGACTAGTCGACATGAAGCACCACGATATAATGGGCAGTCAACATGAAGCATCACGAATTTAATGGCTAGTCAATAGTAAACATCACGATGTAATGACTAGTCAATAGTAAACATCACGACGTAATGACAAGTCAACATGAAGCATCACGATATAATGGCTAGTCAATAGTAAACATCACGATGTAATGACAAGTCAACATGAAACATCACGATGTAATGGCTAGTCAATAGTAAACATCACGATGTAATGGCTAGTATATAGTAAACATCACGATGTAATGGCTATTCAATAGTAAACATCACGATGTAATGGCTAGTCTATAGTAAACATCACAATGTAATGACAAGTCAACATGAAGCATCGCGCTGTAATGGCAAGTCAATAGTAAACATCACGATGTAATGGCTAGTCAATAGTAAACGTCACGCTGTAATGGCTAGTCAATAGTAAACGTAACGATGTAATGTCTAGTCCAGGGTAAGCACCATTGTGGAAAGCTGCATGAGTAGGGTCTTATCGGTTATTTGATGCATGTAAAAATTAACTAATTGGTTTTAAAATATTCACATGGTCAATTTTCAACTCCAACTTAATTCCAAATGTTAAAAAATTAAAAGGCATTTTCTTATTTTATTAGCATTCTTCGTACGATGTGCTTCACTGGTGTTCCTAGAATTTCGTTTCAATGTGACCAAAATATTAAAATTAGCGATTTAAATTGTGTTATATTAAATGCAGTGCTGTGGGGTATATTTTGTGAGTAAATTATAAATAGGGAATTTTGCAAATTCAAGGACTGTATTTGTATTTGTTGTATTAATTGACAGAAGTTAATGTGTTGTATTTGTCACACCTATCTAGATAAATATGTATATCTACTTATATCAATTTTTCCCTAGACAACGGAGATATTACCTGATTTTATATCACAAGTTAGATTTTTATTTTCTTATTTCTTTTTTAATTCCATTCCATCATTCTTAAGCTAGAAATTATAAGTGCAGTGAACTGAACCCGAATGTTACGACTATCTAAAATTGTAATAAGATCAAGTTTGTCGATAATAAATGTATTTTTTTTCTTTCTTCATCTCGTACAATGTCGAATAGGTTTAAAAAAATTAAACAAAATTTTTTTGATTGCACAGTTGCATGCATGGGTGTGTTTGAAAGTCTTGCCAGATAGTGACAGTACACCAGCCTGAACAGCAAATGATCTCTTAAACTGACACACGACCGGAGGGAGTTGATTGGAACCCTACTATCCGACCAGACGTGCAGTGTCCTTGGACATGCTCTTTTAAGTCCGATCACCTCAGTACTAAATACCCTACTTACGTTACTGTGGGTTAAAACACCAAATCAGGTTAAACCAAGCATAGGACAATGGTCATGAACAAAAATGTTCCCAGACAAACAAATCTGCCAGTCAAATCATATAGTTTCGTTGATGCAAACAATATAAAATGGTCAATAACTTATATATATATATATATATATATATATATATATATATATATATATATATATATATATATATATATATATATATATGTGTGTGTGTGTGTATGTGTGTGTGCGTGCGTGTGTGTTATGCACACACACACACACACACACATATATATATATATATATATATATATATATATATATATATATATATATATATATATATATATATATATATATATTAAAGAGCGAATAAGGTTTGTTTCAACTGCCACTGAGTAAACATATAAAGCAGTACAATTTAGAGATATGCATGAATTTTGCAGCAGCTTAAAGTTGTCAGATTATTTTGAAAATCAGTTTGGAATTTCACTGCATTTTATTGAAATTATTTTATTGCAACATCCATATTGGACTTTGTTGTTATAGCGATGGTGGTCTTCTTGCAATTATTTGCATTATACGTATCACAGGATGCAGTGAATGACCGCTTAGAATAATTGGACCGTGGGTGAAGACAAGTTGCCATTACAGTTTGATAAATACGGTACGCGAGTTTATTAGTTTATAGAGTTTCTGGCAAACTCACTTTTCAAATGCAGACAAGTCGCCTGAAGTCATTAATCACCGACCGTGACTTTAACTCATCATAAGCCAACAGTTCCAAAGAGTTTTGATTCGTTTACGGGAATAATCAACAAGCTTATCTCGAAAATCGTAATCGAGAAGCTCTTTTCTTTGTACTTTAAATACAGTTCATCCATAAACGTAGCATCTGCGTCATCCCTGACGTTAACCAATTAGATGCAGTTCACTGAACATGAGATTTACTCTACAGTTATCGATATAAGTACTTTAACGTAAAAGATAAATAAAACACGTAAATATCGAATCCTTTTCTTATTTGGAGTGAAATCTGAGGCATTAAGTTTAAAAATAAAGTTATACCCCCGACAGTCTAAGCTTAATTTAAATATTTGGGAAAGTAATGATGCTGAGATTTTAACGCAGAAATGTTATTTTTAGTTATCATAATTGGTTATTCTGCACCATATGTTAAAATAATGACTATATGCGCCAAGAAATCAAATCGAGTCACTGCGCGAAACCGCTTTCAAAATTGCTGTATTGTGGTAAATGTCCATAAGTAGTCCCTATTTATATAAATATACTGTCAATATGTGCTCTTTCGTTACAAATCCAATGTAACTGCGAATCAACCAAGGTCGACAGATTATGCTACTATGTGTTTAAACCAGCTTCCTAGTAACTAAGACCTCAGTATCATCGGAAACCACTCAAACACACGCTGTGTTCTAACGCTTTTCTCCTCAATGTCGCTATACTTGATCCTCGCCAGGAGTCCCCTATATCCTGCATTCCACATGCCATCTGCGCACTTGGAAGCGATGTAGATGGTGAACTCCCCGGAAGTGGCGATGCACAGTTATTTGGCGACATCCCGTAAGTGGTACTATAGAGAGAGGAAGTTCCATTTGACATTGGGTTCGTGCTTCCCATGGAAACCGTAGCTGCATCGACGAGACCGCCCACGGTCACTTGAGGTGAAAACGATTGTGTGATACAGTGTCTGGGTAAAGCAGCAGAGAGAGCAAAGTGGTTGCCGTTCATCTGGGGCATTGTTGACCACCGGTTGTCGCTGGGGTGAAATCCGCATAATGGATCATTCATGGTTCCAAACGGGGATAATCCTGTTGAAGGAAGAAGAGCCCCTGGAGTTCGAAAAACGTTTGTCGTTTTCTTTCTCTTCTTCCACTTGGCACGGCGATTTTGAAACCACACCTGAAGAAAGAAAATGAATTTGTATGTGAATATGCATCATTGCAAGTGTTCTTGTAGCCGTCAGGAAACCATTTTTCAAACTTATTGGTAATATGTTGCAGTTTGTGCATCAAAGAACTGAAACAGAATTAAAATATCTACCAAATAAAACAGTTATAGGTATTTGAAACTTGATTGGTTGGTTTTCAAACAGATTGATATCTATACCATGCCGAACAAAGTGCCTTTCCCATATATATATATATATATATATATATATATATATATATATATATATATATATATATATATATATATATATATATATATATATATATATATATATATATATATACCGAGGCAGCCAATATGATCTGGCCTGTAAGGGTTTCTTGGAACGAGTCCGGCTCTCTACAAACTGAGCTGCCGCGGGTATTGTGGGTAATATTCGAATTCGATGAATTTTTAGTACACTATAAAGATCATACTATAATTATAATTACATCATTGTTTTAAATATTTTAAATTGTTTTAATTGTTTAAAAAAATCTCTCCTGGTTCCTTTAAATAAAAACGGATAGAATAGAACAATAACTGAACACAATGAAAAAACTTATGAAGAGGCTAAATAAATAAATAAATAAATAAATAAATAAATAAATAAATAAATAAATAAATAAATACTAGCGGACTAATTTTATTGGAGTAATCGAGTGGCTAATAGCAGTTACGTATCTGAAGTAAGTTTCATGCTCTGTTAAGTGTTTATACCATGCATGGAGAGATCAGGCTAAAATGCCGTTTCTGGCTGCTGAAAACATTTGGTTTACTCAGA